GTGGAAGAAGGTGTGGTGGAGGACGATGGTGTTGGAGGATGAGGCCTGGCCGGCTTGGCTGGCAGAGAGGCTTTGGGCAGATTGGCCGGAGGAGGGGAGTTGGCTATTTTGGCCGGAAGAAAAAGGTTGTGCGGAGGTGGATTGGATGGATTGGACGGAGGAGGCGTGGGGTGATGACGTCGTGATGACGGTGATGGCGGGTGTGTGGTTTTCGAGGGAGGTGACGCAATCGGATATGGAGGTCATGGAGGCCTCGATTTTGCGGAGCGAGGCAGAGAGTGCTTGAAACATGGAGAGGAGAGATGTGTTCTCCCCGGTGTCTGGCTGGTCGACAAGCTCGCAGTGGATATCCTCGACGGAATCCATGCGGATCGAGCCCATGTTGATGCTTCAAGTGCCTTCGGCCATAGGGAGGGACGAAGGTGGGGCAGAGGGAGAAGATGGAGTGGAGGGGACAACGGAGGTGACAGCAGCGGCGGAGGTGGCAGCAACGGCGGCGGCGGCGGCGCATTGGGAGGTCTTGGATTGGCGGGGTGGCATGTCGGAGTGGTTTCTCGCAGTGACGACGACGGGGATCTAGACAGCGACGAAGATCGTGGCAACGGCGAGGGTCACGGCAGCGAGGAAGGTCTCGGCAACGACGAAGATTGCCGCGGCGGCAAAGGTTACGGCGGCTATGGGGGAGCGAGCTGCTTCGATACCAGTGTAACGGGTGCAGAGGCAAAGGGCGGGGAGGGAACAAAGGGAGAGAGAGTGAGAGCACACACACACTCACTCACTCACGCGACTGAACTCAACCGGACGCTAAACCAGGGGCTGAGGCAAAAGTCGAAGTCTTGGTTTCGAAGGTCCAAACAGCAAGCCACACTGAGTACGAGTACAGCAGCAGAAAGCTGGTACGAGACTGGTCCCCATACCGTACGGGGTGCCGGTATAAATACCGATGACACGTACGGTACCGGGGGCATTTCTACAAAGGCCCCGAGGGCAAAACTGAAATATGCGGTATTTGAAAGTGGCACCCGAATTGAAGCATGGCGTCAGTTGTCCAAAATCCTACGGTACCAAAGGAGGGGTTTAGAAAAAGGGCGCCAGGCCGAAAACGGGATGCAGCCGAAACAGCAAAAAGATAGACCAGGATCGAGCCCTGGCGGAGTCTGTAACAGGTCAAGTGAAAGTTTAGGGCAGTCTGAAAATCCTGAATGGTCTTGAAGTGGTGAAAGGTCCAAAAACCATAAAAACCACCCTTCACCACTTGTGGATGCATCCTGCCTAAACAGGTGGTTTTTAGGGTCTTCGGAGGACCATACAGGAATGGTCCTGAAGTGGTGAAAGGTCCGAAGACCCTGAAAACCACCTGTTTAGGCAGGCTGCATCCTGAAGTGGTGAAGGGTGTCCGGGAGTGGTGATGAAAAATACGACTATTGTTAACCTACTCTCGACACCTGAGCGGGGTAGGAGAGAGCCTTCTCACACTGCATCTTGAGGTCAGACTGCAAGGTCGAGGGTCTTCAAACTGGTCTCGCATAATTTTTGTGGGAAAGTGCCGCATGACTGGAAGGGGTTACCAACCTTCTGAACACGCCGACCGACCAGACATAGGTTTGCACAAGCTGGTCTATGGTACGACTGATTGGAATGTGCCCAAGTCAAGCAGGACATCCGAGACGCCAGCTGTTCATCTCCTCGGTCAATTCGTCACCTGTTTCAACTTTGCTCGGCGGGTGGCTGTTTATCAGTCTAGTCCAATTCCAGTTGGGTTTTTTTTTTCTGGGTTTTTCGCTTTTTCTTTTGTTCTATCTGTTTTCCTTGTTTTTTTGTGCTATGTTTTGCATAGGCTCTCCTCTTGTGCTCTGATATGATAATATTCGTTGATACTGGAGATAAGTGTAGCCACCCCAAACTGATGGGAGTGAACAGCTAACGTCTGGAAATGTTGCCTTGACTTCACGAACGACCGAGTCTAACAGCTGTAGCTCGTCAGGAAACGTGTTAGTATCTATACAGAGTTAATGACAGAACCAATCCTCTCAATTTGTCTCGAATGTCCTGACGAAGCCGATACACGCATTGGCAGAACCGTGGTGTTGGTGTGGCACCAGCATGCCCTGTAGACTTTTGAAAAAGAGTGACGTTCTAACATGGCAGAACCGTGGTGTTGGAGTGGCACCAGCATGCCCTGTAGAGTTTTGAAAAAGAGTGACGTTCTGACGTGAATTCGCAAAGGCAATGGGTGAGGATCGCAGACCTCATCGCATCAGGACACTGCTGGGCTCGATGATATCTTAGTTTTCTCTCTCTTTGTAGCGCTTGAGACATAAGTGATTATGGGCATGCTGTGGAGTTCTCGTAGTTGCCGTGTGTTTCGAGTGGATGTGTGACTTATCCTGCAGTATCGATGTTCATGTATGCATCGATGAGCTTCGAGACCTTAACGTCGTAACGAACACACAGTAAAAGATGTGTGACTAGCAAGCATTACATTTGCTGCTTTCGCTTTGTTGCACATGGGGTTTATGGTAGATGGTACAGCAGGCATAATAAACAAAGAAACAGATATTAACAAGCTCCCCACTGTCCCTATCTATCATCCTGCATCAGACAGAGGGAGCATCTGTGAGGAGTAAGACGAACGAAAATTTAAGAGGTGGTTGGGCAACATATAAAAGAGAGAGCACAAGCATTCTGTCCATAAATCTCAAAGTTCTCTTGACAACTCCGATTCCGAAGGACACCCAAATTCCATCTTTGTCTTTTTGGTGCAGCTGCAATGTTCGATGTTCCCAGAGGAACCGCAAAGAAACGGATAAGCTATCCAAATTCGAAGAAACAGAAACAGAATGCCAATTTGTCAAACGAGAAAACAAAGAGAGAAGACATCAAGATAAACTCAGGGACATTATTCTGTTTGGGAAGAGAAAAAGACACAGGGTGGAATGCCAAATGAAGCCAGGAGAGAAAGGTGTGAGGAATGTGCCATCACGGGGCCCTAGCCAACATGCACATGATTTGGCCTGAAGGCCCCAGCATACCTCGTGCCCGCCCTAAGTGAAGGTGGGCCTGAACATCCATAAGAGGCAGCATTTTCCCAATGTAGGTATCCGACAGTTGCAGCAACCAGTTCGTTGAAGTGCAACGTGAGCCTCTCCCTGGGCTCCTTCCAGAAACGGCAACTGCGTCAAGCAGTTGAGCCCAGGGCCACGTGGTTGCACCCTGGGCACACGCAGTGTGAGGCCGACACATCACTAAGTTGCCGCGGTCGAATCAGAACGCAGCAGTGTCATCTCAGAGGCCCAGGGAGCCAATGAGAAAACAGTGAACACTTGGAGCCTGGAGGACAGACACTGGGGCCTGTCCGGACGCTACTGGGAGCCTCATCAGCCTGGCCCTCACAGCCAAACAGACGCCGCAACTTCCGTAAAGGAAGGTCACTGGCCAGAGGGAGTTATTCTGGCCTAGGCAGGCAATGCGGACGCACTGCTGCGTTGCTGCGCAAGTGTCTGCATGTGCGCTGCTGGCTGGGGCGCACGCGGGCACTATGAGGTGAGAGGGGCGCTACAGGGTGGCAGGCGCACGGCAGCCATAGCCGGACTGCAGGGGCGCAAGAGGGTGATGGGCGTAGGTGGTCTTCGGGTAGGAGACGCACGAGTGGGTGGTCAGGATCTGATGAGGAGAGGAGAGAGAACGTACCTGGTGTATGTGGGACTTCATGTACACTGGTCTTCAACGTCGGAGTGATCCTATTGCGAGCACGTACAAAGGCTAGATTGGCTCAATAGAGTAGGCTGGGCACTGGGCGCCAGACAGAGATGAGCGACATTCGATTCTGTGTTGGTGGGCCCTGGGGGCGATAACATTGGCACACGAGTTCACTGCTTTGCTCATATTGAGATGGAATCTTGGTGTTGAGCTCTCTGCTGGGTACATGACTATCTGGACATCTGTGTGATTTTGCAATTTGGTTTTCTGTCCATCGCTCTCGCTCATATTCCTTCCAAAGGAGGAATGCCGAATAAAGCTCCGGTTCTTTTGGCACTTCACCTGAATACCACACTTCCCTCTCAAAATATTGTTTGTTCCTCTCTCTCTCTCTCTCTCTCTCTCTCTCTCTCTCTCTCTCTCTCTCTCTTATGTGGTCCATCCAAGCACTTCCGTGGTCATCCATCATCCACTCCTCTAGGACTCCATCCACCCCGCCTCTGGATACCCATAAACGAGAAAGAAAACACTAGACGCTCCCGCAATACCCAGCATTCCGCACTCCGAAAGAATGCATACATAGAGAGAGAGAGAGAAGCTACAGAGACCGCTGAGCACAAGGAAAACAAATCTCTCGCAGCGTCACTCAGGGGCTCCAATACACAAAACATCGTAGGAGGGGAAAAGAAGTTTAACACCTGCGCCAGATGGTGTGCAGCGGAAATCCAAGTCAAGAAAAGGAGTGGCTTGGCCAGACTGCCGGTTTAACTACACGAGTCTTCTTTAAACCACTAGTACCTCCGCCAGTGAGGGGAAAATAGGGAAAAGTGGCAGTTTTCCCAAAGTCCTAAACAATCAGAGGCCGGGACCAACGACGACTGCCATTGACAAATCTTATCGGCGGCCTTCGTTTCGTTTCAGCCTTCAAAAAGGTCGGAGGCCCACCCGAGGGCCGCTATTTTCCCACGCGGCAAAGCTACTAGTTGTTTTCAACTACGTGCCATGAGGCCACCAGGCACATTCACATGTCGCCGCCCGGCAATTCTGGGGTTTGCTTTTTGGGTAGCTTTCCATCAATGTGGGTCCATCGATTGTTTTTACTGTGTACCGTGTGGCCACCGGCCCATTCAAAAATATTATGGGGTTGGTTTTATTGGCTAGTTTTCCATTTGCCTGTATACGACACGACTCGTCCCCTGGCGTTCATGGGTTCAAGATAAATGCCACTGCTTTGAAAAAATCAATGGCGTTGATGCACAATGGAGCCCACGCTCCTTTTCTCCGCTCTGTCATGTCCCTACCTATTCTCTTTGCATCATCCTTCGGGCTCCTCACTACGCTGGCGCTGTCACCTTTTCTTGATTCCTCCTCTCCAATGAACTCCTGTCCTACACCCTAATCACAGAGTGCCACACACAAGACCATCCACCCACACAGACACGCAATATCGGTGATTCTCATCCTGGCATATGTCATCAAACCTTCTGTGTTTCCCAATGAAACATCTGATCAGGCAGATGCATCAAAAACACACCATACAATGCCAATGTTCAATGGATACCACACGCACAAAGCTGACAAAACCATCCACCCACAAGCAATCAGAAACATTTGCAAGCATTGTCAGTTACACAAGCACCTTTCACATAATCAACTTACCACATATTTCAGTTTTTGATTGCATTCACAAGCATTGTCAGTTCTTCCATCACTATAATGTCTTCCCTGTTTTCCATTGCAACGACTTCCCAAGGCAGATGCCCCAAAACAATCCGCCAAATCCATACGCAGAAGACATTTGCCTGCTCAATGGCAAACTGCCATTCATCAGGAACGGAATAGATTGACAAGTGACAGAGAGAGAGACGCAGGAGGCATTACATTACATACCCTGCCTGTTCAACAGCAAACTGACATTCATCAGGAAGGGAATCGTAACAAGAGAGAGAGAGAGAGAGACTGACAGAGAGTGAAGGCTACATTACAACTCCTACGCAGAAGATTTATGCATGACTTTCTGTTCTGTTTCAGCCATGAACTTCAATCATACCCACCTGTTTGCGGGAAGCAGGTCTTGTAGAACTGCTGCTTTGATGATTCTTCGCCCAGCATGCCTTTTTCTCCTCATCCTCATCTTCCTCCTCTTCCTCATCCTGTGGTCGATGAAGATCGCCACTCGAGTGAATCCAGGCATCATGCTCGTCACTTTCATGGTGATCATATCCTCCTCCCCCACCCCGTGTGGCATTCCTTCTGCTGCTCTTCATGCAGCTAGAAACAAAGGAATGAAGGTCCCACAAAGTTTCTGTGTCGAGTGAGTCTATGTCCAGCTCTATCTCGTCCTCCCCCTGATTAAGACTCGGATTTCTCAAGGACAGTATGTGAACAATGTGACCCAATTTCTCACCAGGAAGTTGCCCTAGGTTCTGGCTCAACTTCCGCTTCTCCTCCATCGTCATTGGCCTCTTCCCGGCCGCCATTGGCTCCATAGCTGATTGCTGCTGTGGAGGTGATGGCGGAGGCAGGGATGGTGGTAGTGCAGTAGGTGTTGCTGCTGCTGCTGCAGGTGGCGGTGGTGGTGGCTTGGCCTTCCCACCACTGTACTGGCGCCCAGTTCCTGTGTTGACTGTGCTAACAGCTGCTGTGGACCTTGGTGGCACTCTCCGTTCTACCAACTGTTGCTGCTGCGGAACTTTCGGCCCCGTTTTCGGTTGATTTACCACTTTTGAAGCAGGTCCTCGAACCTCTGCTGGCGGCTTGACCTCACCTGCCAGTGCAGCCAATGCCTCTTCCTCCACCCGGAATTTGATTGCCTCCTCTGCTAACTTATCTTCAATATTCTTGTACCTCTCCTCAAACATGCCAAGAAGGTCCTTGGCTAGGTCGTGCACTTCACTGTTCGGTTGGTTGTACGTCATCGCATTTGAAAAAACAAGGCGCACATCCTCTGCAAAAGGGCCAGGAACCCCATATACCCCACTCTCCAGCTTCCTCCTCACTGTACCCAGGTCCATAGGCTTCTTGATGATCTTCGGATAGTCATACAATTTAAGCTGGACCCAGTTCACAGGCTCATTGAACACCCAAGAGTTTTTCTGATTTTGAATCTTCCGCAGAACCGCTGCACATTGCTTCATGATATCAGCCATCCGCTTTGCACGGACGGTTTCAATTTTCTGCTTCTTAGCTTCATACACTGATAGTGGCTTCGCTTGCGCCGTTGCACCCCCACGCTTCGTGCCCGCCGATGATTTCCCCTTAGATTTGTCTGCTGTCGGGACCCTGTCCTTGCCGGAGACAAACTCTGAGTTATTGTAAACAGGGTTGGCCTTTGGCGTACGCTTTTCCTTAGAAGGACCCAGACCTGCTGGCAATGAGCCCCCTGCCACCACATTATCAGCAACTGTTAAGCTTGCTTGACGAGAAGATAAACGTGTCTCCTTTGTCGTCACTGCAGGCACTGCGACTGCCATATCCTCAGCATGTCCACTCCGACTACTACTGGTCTCTTTCATCCTTCCCTTCACAATGTCATCACTTCTTGCCGTTGTTGTTGATGACGGAAATGGCTCTGTTGAAGTCAGTGGTGGTGGTGCCACTGCCGCGGCCAACCTACCCCGCTGCTGCTGCTGCTGCAGGCATACTCCTGCCCCTGCCATTGCCCTGCCTCCACTAAACCCATTCGAAGAGCCGTTTTCTGTTCGGTACCCCGACGTAGACGGTGCTATAGCATGTAGCTGCTGTTGATGACGCACACCGCCTCCTCCAAGGTCCCTTGCCCCCATCTGTTTGCGTCGTATCAGATCATCAACCCTAGCTTGCAAGGATATGCAACGGTCAATCTCTCTCTTCAAAGTCTCCCTCTTCCAACGCTTTACCTCCCTTGGGGTCAGCTCAGGAGCATCTGCACCCCATTCTCCCTCATCCTCCATTCCACCTCTCCCACCAGAATGGGCCGTAGTTGTGGACATGTCGTGGAATCGTCTAGGAGGGGGACATGAAACACCACTTGCCATCTCACCCCCCTCGTGAGCATCCAAGTATGGGCCCTCAGATTTTCTCTTGAAGCCGCGTCCTATTTCCCCTCCACTGATTCCTGCGACAGTCCCCATGACTCGCCGGTTGCGTTCATTGTCCGCACCGATGCCAACCGACATCATCCCATCGATGACTGATCGCTGGTGCTGATGGTAATACCGAGACGACACAGACCGCCTTGCTCTCTTGTTGCGTGGGTGTGGTGATATTTCCTCTTCAACCATACCTCGTCTTATCTCGGTACCTTTAACCGCAACACGTCCAAGTTCTTCCTCTTCCTCCTCCTCACCGTCCTCCACATCCTCCTCTTCCTCCACCCGGCTGCTGGGTACGATTGCCTCATGAAGATGCTGCGGGAGGTGATGAGGAAGACTATGGTGAAGGTAAGGCGTCGCTGTACCCCTACTTCCGCTGCCACTATTACTTCGGTATCGTGTCCTCTTCATTGGCTCCTCCCTGAAAACATCAGGAACCATTTGGAAGTGCAACTGCACATCGGCTGTCATGTGGTAATGACAACTCTTCTATTACTATTATTGTATGTATATATTTATTATACCACAGCTGAGTTGGCTGCTGTCGGATCCTCCCCCGCACTCAATTCATCCATTACCTGAAAACAAAAGGTGACAAAGTAAGCCCCGACCACCCATCCACCACAGCATGCATCCCCTGTCAGTCGTACTGGGACTTCTTGCCCCCATTCTGATGCCAGGATCATTCCCCAACAGAACGATGGGATTGCTGCCAAAAAACGACAAACCGGACCACATCAAATTCTTCTAACAACAATCCACAAAAACCAGCATTTGTTTGAAACTGCCCTTATTAACCTCGTGCATGGATGTTCCAGAAGGTTCCAGAAAGAGCAAGCGACTCCCCCAGGTACCACACAAACATATCCCGTGTCCCTGAAACCTGCACCCGTTGGACAGCCGTCCTTAACTGTCTGGGATTTCTTAGGGACCCGCCTAAAAGGGCCTTTACGAATTAGACCCCAGATGAGTACCCCAACAGCAAGGGGCCCTGTCGGCCAGAACTTAAATTCACGAGCAGCAACCCAAAAGACAAACTTCCTGAGGCAAATGTCACATCCATAATGAAATGAAAGGTCATTTTGAACAGTCACAATCAAGTCCTGAACGAACAGGTATTGGACACAATTTTTAAGACAGAAAGGATCATGTCTCCTCGATGGAAAGCCACGTCTGTTCGGCAATGAGTCAAAGGCCACAGTCCCAGTACAGTCATAATCCCACGAGTCAGTCCTGATTCAGACCAGGAGTCCAAAAGACAGGCCAGATGGCCCAAAGCATCAGCAGACAATGGGAAAAGATACTGGTAGACACACTTTGCAACAACGGTTACTGGGTAGGAGTCCCAGACACTTGAGGCTGAATGCAGGGCACGCCAGACCAGTCCAGCATTATAAAGGACTGGCCAGCCTCCTATTTGACAGATGCTCACTTCGCATGAGAGTGTGGAAGTGCCATGGCACTTGTGCACTAGATATGTGTGAGCTGCGCTAGGCTGAGAGCAGCGCTGCGTGTGAAGACAGGAAGAAGAGCGCTGGCTGGAAGAAGGGCAGCCATAGCTGCCCCAGTACTAGTTAGTATGTTAGTAGGGATAGCCAGTAGGAGACACCAGCGAGTAGTATTCAGAGTAGATCCTCATGTAATAGGGAGTGTGCATGCATGATGAGTGAGGGTAGACCAGGACTATAGACATAGAGGGAGAGAGAGAAGAAGGCAGACGAGAGAGGGGGAAGTGTGAGCTATGGTGACACTTACCTGTTGAGCGCTGTTGTTGACGTTTGGCAGCTGGCGCTGACGAGCGTCAAGCTTGGAACTCATGTTGATCGAAGAAGACTTGTAACACTGTTCACCGCTATACATTTTGGACTCGCGAATTTCCTCTCTTAATCTGGTCATGATAATTGAGTTGACCTTCCTGGTTCTCATTCATCTTCTATTGGGTTTTGTGTGAGACTTCGCAATCTGTGAAATCAGTGTATATGCATGTGATCTGATGCACTCCAGCAAGTTATGAACAGTCAGGTTCCTTGCAAATTTGGTATCGGAGCAGTACTTGTTACTCACACTGGACACGCTGGCGTGATCAAGGCTGGCGAGAAGGATAAGCTGGCTTGAGTATAGCTGGCAAGAGTTGAGGTGAAGAGGAGATTGGGATAGAGGGGGAAGTTGGCCGAAGAAGCGGCTAAGGAGGAGAAGACTTACCTGCAGTTGGAGCGATTGGAGAGATTGGAGCAAACGTGGAGTCTTCATCAACGGCTACAAACAAAGAACCTCCTGCCCCACTTACCTCAATTGATTGCAAACCTGGAGAGATTGGAGCAAACGTGGAGTCTTCATCAACGGCTACAAACAAAGAACCTCCTGCCCCACTTACCTCAATTGATTGCAAACCTGTTTGTTGTGTATCTCTTCCCCCTCCTTTCTGGTGGTCGCTGCTGCTGTCTGGACGAAACCTGTGCCCTGGTCTGATCTGACAGATAGGACTAGAGAGTCAACATCTGGTCTTCGTGTCATCCATCTGGTCAGGGAAGGAAGGTTGAGTCAGGGAACTGTGTACTGCCACGTTAGAGTGTAAGAAGCTAAGAGTTGAGATAATCGTGCTAAACTGGATTTGCTTTCGAAGTAAGTATCTCCTAGCTACCTTCTCTAACGAAAGTGACCAGACAGACCATTGAAGGCATAGACCAGCTAAGTAACTAAACAGGCAGCAAACAAAGGAAGAGGGGAAAAAAAAAAAAAAAAAGAGTTCCTACTTTGCATATTGATAAGGAAATATATTATATATCTTCTGCATTATTAAATTTCTTTATTCTGAAGCAGTGACATCCAGATTAATAAAAAAAAAAAAAAAAAGGTTACAGATCCCAACTACTCAGGTAAACTAGGTTCTTGGGTAGCTACTTGGTGGTCCAGCGGAGCCCTCCCCTGTGCTGTACCCCACCATGGATGACTATCCCATGTACTGGATGGTGGCTCTGTCTGTTCTTTTGGGGCCACTATTCCGTTTCTTTTTCCCTCTCGGCTTCAGGAGAGTGTGTTCTTCCCGCATGATGATGAGATATGGAACAGCAAAGCCCCGACTCTCCGCGGCAGAGCAGGCAGAAGTAGACCGCCGCCTAGCCGAGAAAAAGAAAGAAAAGGAGCAGAAAAAGGAACATAAAGAAGAAGAGTTGAGGAAGAAAACTCAAATAGAAGAAGAAAGAATTAAAAAAGAGTTGAAAGAAAAGTTAGAAAATGAATTGCAGTTAGAAATAAAGACTAGAGAAGAAGAAGATGACCCTGATGATGACAGACTCATTAGACATCGAATTGAAAGGGGCGAAAGCAGTCATATAGGTGGATGAATATACGGGTCAGTCCCTTAAACTGGGATGACCAGTAAAGTTATTCCAATGAACGGATTGAAGAGACGGAGGAAGAACGGGACACGTTCATCGCAAAATTTGCATCCATTAAAGATAAAAGGGAAAAGGAGCTCTTGCTGGAGGAAGAACGAACTGAATTGCACAGCAAAATGTTAGCTGCAAAGCGACAAGAGCTGGAAGAGACAAAAAGACTGCAGGTAGAGGGTGAGAGGTTGCAAAGAGAATTACAGGCGCAGAAATAAAAGCAAACATCAACAAACAGCAACCGAAGAACAACTTGCCCTCTTCACAGCAACTGTTTTCCATACAAAACAAGAGTCGGCAGAGGCGAACAAAACCTTGCAGAAAGTTGAAGCTCATCAGTATGAATTCGAAGGAGTCTGGAATACCTTCCTGCAGAGATCTGCAGCGGAAGTTGACCAACATGTACAAGCATACATTGTAAAATTAGATGAGCAGATCAGTAAAACTTTAACACCCGACGTAATTGAGAAATTGGTAAGCAACGGTGGAGGAGATGGAGGAGATGGAAAAGGTGATGGAGACGGAGATAGGAAGAAGAAGGGTGTGCTACAAGAAGATGCAGGGGAAGTCAGAAAGATAAAGGTAAAGGTGTCGTGGACATACAACGACAAAAAGGAAGAAAGTGTTTTACATTGGATTGTTGCAATTGAGTCCTACGTGTACGGGCATCGTATACCATATAGGGACAGGGTTCTCATGGCCAGTTCATGTATGGCCAGAGATGCAACGAGTTTTGCAATCTCCCTGCAGAAGGAAGTTAATTGTTAATCTATCGTAGAGTATTCCCAGCAAACTCGTATTGAAGATTTCTTTAAAGCGGTCCGGGAATGGTTCGAAGATAAGAACTTAGCTCGAAGAACTGAAATGCTAATCTTAAATACCGCAGATAGGAAATGTAAAAGTGTATCCGCACTTAAATCTACCATGGACGAACTTCTGCAATGCGCTGAACATGGACTCACCCCGAACCAGATTCTCAACAACTTTGCTAGAGCACTACCCGATCCTCTCCGCACTCAACTATATCCCCGTACCAAGGAAGAGGGGATGACTTATGGGAAGTTTAGCACGCGTATACCATATAGGGACAGGGTTCTCATGGCCAGTTCATGTATGGCCGGAGATGCAATGAGTTTTGCAATCTCCCTGCAGAAGGGAGTTAATTGTTAGTCTATGGTAGAGTATTCCCAGCAAACTCGTATTGAAGGATTCTTTAAAGCAGTCCGGGAATGGTTCGAAGATAAGAACGTAGCTCGGAGAACTGAAATGCTAATCTTAAATATCGTAGATAGGAAATGAAAAAGTGTATCCGCACTTCAATCTACCATGGACGAACTTTTGCAATGCGCTGAACATGGACACACCCCAAACCAGATTCTCAACAACTTCGTTAGAGCACTACCCGATCCTCTCCGCACTCAACTATATCCCCGCACCAAGGACAAGGGGATGACTTATGGAAAGTTTAGCAAGATCGCATTAGATCATCGGTTTCTTGGGAAAAGATCTGCAAGCCGGGAAGAAATGGCAAAACCGTACCATCCCAAGAAGTATTCATAGGAAACACAACCTTCTTTTGACTTTTGAAGGAGGTGTCGAAACTCTTTCCAATGATCAGATAGCCTACAATTAAAAAAACACCAGCACATTAAAATCCAAATTCGTATCAATTTCCAATAGGCACTTCCAGGAGGTCGCGTTATGGTGCGAAGCACACAACGTAAGATCACTGCCTTTCTTTTTCCACAATGATCTTTCAGCTTCCCACTTCCATTGATTTCACGCGCAGTGTGTTTTTTTTGTTGAGTTCCGGGTACACAAGCAAAAACCAACAGTACTGGCAATGTTTCCCACATAAATACAAGAGGACGTATAGCCAATACGGGGTCTTGTAGTACAAGGTTGAATTTTTTTCCCGAATCAGTGCTTAAAAAGGAAACTCAAAGAAAAGGATTGGAGGTCAAACATTAAAAAAACAGAGAAAAATAAAGCAAGACTATGGTCTAGAGGGAGGTGCACACAACGGACCGGTAGTTCAGAATGGGGACTACGCAGCCGTTGCAGCCCGCGGGGGAGGGCGGCAAGGAAGAGGCCGTGGCAAAGGAAGAGGAGGCCGCGGTCGTGGAGAAAGAGGACCCGGCACCCAAAGGGATGGTGGCAAAGGAAGCTACTACATGGGACGAAGGGGCAATGGTCCCTCACAAGGAGGCCGAGGACCCAACTCCACACGGGGAAGAGGAAGAGGCACGAGGCACGTGAATTGGGATCGTCCGTATCCACCACATCCAGGCCTGCTCGGAGGCAGACCTTGGGAAAAGTTGGGAATCACAAAAAAAGTTTGGCAAGAGAGAAAAGTCGTCGATCAGTACCTCAAATGTGGTGACCCCAACCACATTGTTCCCTTCTGCCCACATATTATAAACAACCAAAGGGGAAAAACCAGTAGGGGTTTCAATTGCCTCTACATGCAAGCAGACTGACATCCTCCCATTCAAAGGTTCCCGTGGCAGAAACTGAAGACATAAACGATCCCCACCTAGTCACTTGTCCAAAGGCAGTTAGTGTATGTACCTCTCTAGGTGGATCCCTCGCAGGCATGGGTGATGAGTTGGCCACTCGTCACAAAGCCTGGGTCGAAATGAAAAAACGAAAAGGGCAGCTAATTATTGCAGATCCAGAAGGCAATAAAGTATGAGTAGGTGGTATGATTGACAGTGGGTCATCACATAGCTATATTAGTAAGAAAGGACTGCAAAAGTTGAGTCTACGGCTAAAGGTAAAACAATTGGGAAGCCCGTAGTAAGTAAACTAGCGAACAATAGAGAGATTGTATTGGATAAATATATTGAGGGGATTCATACATACTTTCCTATCGAGGCAGAGGGGAAGGTGGAACGCGTTTTCCACTCTCTAACTCTCTTGGTGGAAGATAGTCTCCCTTTTGACATTCTCTTAGATACAGATTGGGGGGAAGCTGCAGTTGTGAATGTGAAGCTAAGGGACCATAAGTGCATAAGTGTTGGCTCCCTAGTCCGCAAGGTGGCAAGAAGAAAGTCTACCTATTTCATAAATCCGGTAAGGAAAGCAGCTTAGCTCATTGTTGCACGAGTGCCCCCGCGTTCGCCCGCCATGTAAAGAAGTATAATCTATATGATCAAGTATTTGTGGCATATGTGCGCCTAGTTAAAGAAGGTGAAGATAAGGAAGAGGCAAAGTCCCCAAAAGTTGAGAAAATTTTGAAAGAATTTGCAGATGTGGCGGAGGCCCTAAGCGGTGTGGTAGAATGACCTATCAAACATCGCATTGAAATTATTCATGAAAGTCAAATTCCCAAGCGCCCGATTTACAGAGTGTCACCCAAAGAACTGGTTGAACTGCGAACCCAGCTTCATGAAATGCTGGAAAGGGGATGGATTAGACCTAGTTCCTCGCCCTATGGTGCGTCAGTGCTATTTGTGTCCAAGGAAGATGGCGAGGTCCGCATGTGTATTATTTATAGATGGTTAAATGATATAACTATTAAAAATGTTGAGCCATTACCCAGGAACAATGATTTGCTCGATCGAGTTCAAGGTAGCAGGTACTTTACAAAAATTGACCTGAAATCTGATTTCTGCAATCAGACTCGTTCTCAAACACACTTTTCATGCATGTAAACAGCAACGCAGCATTCTGGCAAAATGCGCCCACTCAAAACTCAGATGTATGGCTTTCAGATACGAGTTCACTCTCAATTGGCTATGGCGACTTCARCGCCCAAACATCTCACTGTTCACATACACTGGATCACCCTGGATATCCCACACGCATCACTCTAACACTCSAACACACACACACACTCACTACTAACTACARCTATGGCAGTTGTCGCTGCATCTACCCTATCGCTATGCTAACTCCCTCTCTCTAGCCCACTGCGTCCTCCGGGCTCATCTGCAGACCTCCTTGCACAAGTCGCTGTGGCAGCGCTTCCACATGGCTCACGCAGGAATGAATGAGTGGTTGGGCGCTGCCTCTTGATTTATACTTCAAAAACTCGTTGGTCTGCCTTTTGCCATCGGCCCTTGGTGCTCACAGTCCCCCTGTGGTACTTGCTGGACTGGACTGGGACTCTCTAGACCCTTCTGCTGACTGTASGCAGTCGTACCGTCGACTCAGTGCAGTTGCACTGAGGTCCTACCTGTTGACCTCGCCACTTGTCTTCGTCTGAAAACGTGGGCCTACCTTAGACTCACCACTTGACCACTTGACGACCTTCTAAAAGGACTACAGCTAGGCCTTTGGACTCTACTTGGACTCCTACCTTACAGGTCTACAGTTCGAATCTCCCTGCAGCCTACAACCTACGGCGACCTACTTACCACTGGCTATCGTGCAGGTCACAGGTTCAACTCCAAGGAACTGTGCAGATACTGTACACAGGTAAGCTGAGGTCAAGGGATCGACCCCTAGGATCTGCATCGGCTACTGCCAAAGGTGAAAACTGTTTCACGCCCACCATCCTAAATTCGAGGTCCTCCGAGAATATTTCAATCCAAGACTGGACCTCTACCTTTCTTATCTCGTTCGTAAGCCCTCACTATGTCAAGGGTTGTCTCCAACAGTTCTGTTCTTGTGAACCAGCGGTCGTCTTCCGGCTCCTGGTAGGCAAACCGAACCTTATACTGTTTCTGGGGACGACCTCTACCTCCTGTTCTAAACACATCTTTGTCTACAATCCCGTCAATGTCGTATCTTCCATCCATATCCGGAGGGATCATGGATCTTCTCGAGGGGAACTGTTCACTTGTGACACACGGCAGCAACTTGGAAGCATGGAAGTCTAGGTACGTGTGGAGGTGTGTTGGGATCTCTATAGTATAGGACGGTCCATCATCCTCGCCTTTGACTTCTATTACCGGCCACAGTCCTCTATAAGCAATATCTTCTGCGAGATGTGCTCCTCAGATGCAAACTCTTTAGACTTGACTCAGACTAAGTCGCCTACTTGAAACTGTGAGGGGCGACGGTGCTTATTAGCCTGTTCTATCATTCTATGTTGGGTCTTTCTGAGGTACTCAACAACAGTTGCTAACTCTTTCTCATGCTGCAAAGCAAACTCCCTGGTTTCGGGCGGTAGTCTGTGAATCTGATCCCGGTTCAGTCCTTCAAACGGTCTGCGTGGTCTAAAGGACTTGTGCAACTCGTTGGGAGTGCGGCAGGTGGATAGATGCACGTTGTTGTTGTATGCGCTACTTTAGGCAATACCTCATCCCAGTTAATCTGATCTGGTCTAATGTACATGCGCTGAACTTGCTGTAGGGTCTAATGTACATGCGCAGAACTTTTGTCTGACCGTTAGTCTCTGGGTGACGGCCAGATGACATTAACAACTTAGATCCGTAAACTCTCATGAGTTCTTGCCAGTTCTGGCTGGTGAAGCGACTGACGGCCAGATGACATTAACAACTTAGATCCGTAAACTCTCATGAGTTCTTGCCAGTTCTGGCTGGTGAAGCGACTATCTCTATCACTAACAATTGACAATGGGATTCCGTTCTCACTAACCAAAAAGTCAAAAAACTTCTGTATTACTAATTATGTACGTGTCTCTGCAAGCAAGGGAACAGACACTGCATACTTACTAAAACGGTCGACTATGACCATGACTTGGCTCTTGCCATGTCTACTCTTGACTTACTTGTCCATGAAGTCTATAGACACTGAGTCTCCTGGCTGATCCGGAATAGGCAAGGGCCTGAGCAATCATTCTTCATCCCTGGCTAGGTATACGCACACATCAGGTTGGCTAATGTCTTTTGCCAACCGAAATGCCCTTCAGTATCGTGGCATTCCCCTAAAACTGAACTGCGGATCTCTTTGCTATTGGGAACGCACAGGCGGTCAAACACATTAGTCTTCTCAAACAACAACCCGTCTGTAGTGCGGCAATCTGGTTCGGTCTCTAGAGCCTCTCTAACTCTCTATAGGAGGTCGCTATAGATAGGGTCCTGCGCATACGCTTGCTTCACTTTCTCCTGCAGGTCTTTCCCTATATCCAGATAGTGTACTACAGCTCCGAAGTAGTCTGATCTCCTACTTAGAGCATCCGCAACCACGATATACTTGCCCTTCACTGGCTTGAGCTCAAAGTCGAATTGGTCTATCTCTGCAGCCCACCTGGTCAACTTAGGTGTCATTTTGGCCTGGGTCTTCAACCATCTAAGCGTTTCATGGTCCGAATAGACTTTGAAGTGCCTCCCAAGCAGGTAGTGCTTCCAATGGTCTAAAGCCTGCCTGAGAGCGTAGAGTTCTCTCTCGTACGTGGAGGTAGCAACCTTCTCACAGGGCATCCTCGCTGACATGAACTCTACGGGTCTATAACCATTGTCGTCGTCTTGCTGCAACACGGCGCCTATCCCATACTGACTCGCGTCCGTGGCAACGACAAATGGCGAGGATGGATCTGCTACGTTGAGGACAGGATATTCTATTAACGCGCGCTTTAACTTCTCGAGCGCAGACGTACAATCTTTATCCCATTGCCAGATAGCCTCTTCTTCAACAACCTGCGCAAGGGAGCGGCGATAGTGGAGAAGTTCCTCACGAACTTCCTGTAGTAGTTAGCTAAGCCTAGGAATGACCGCAACTCTGTCAATGTGCGGGGCGTCGGCCAATCTCTGATCGCCGCGATCTTGCTGTCCTCTGGCTTAATGCCATCTCCGTCCAACACGTGGCCCAAGTATAAGACTTGCGTCTTGGCCCACTCGCACTTCTTCGCGTTGATCTTGAAGTTGGCCTCTCTAAGCTTCTCCAAGACCTGCTTCAGATGACCCTGGTGCTCCTGGAGGGTCTTACTAAAAACTAGAATATCATCTAGATCAACTACCACAAATTTGTCTAACCACGGTCTAAACAGGTCATTCATACAACGTTGAAAAGTAGCTAGCGCGTTGGTTAGTCCAAAGGGCATCACTTGAACTCGTAATGTCCGTATCTCGTCTGGAACGCAGTCTTGTACTGGTCATCAGGATGGACCTCATCTGATGGTATCCGGACTTTAAGTCTATCTTAGAGAAATATTTGCACCCCTGCACCCGATCTAAAAGATCGTCTATCCTGGGCAGCGGTTCAGCATTCTTCACGGTAATCACATTCAAACCCCTATAGTCTATGCACATACGTAGCTCTCCTTCCTTCTTTGGGACGAACAGGACGGGTGCTCCAAAAGGAAGCGAGCTGGGCCTGATCCAACCTTTCTCAAGGATCTCGTCTAACTGTTTGCGAAGCTCCTCTAACTCTCTAGGGGACATCCTGTAGACTGCACCCTTAGGAGTTCTACTGCCAGGCTCTRTCTCYATCCTGTGCTGGATGGGTCGCGACACTACTCCTCTCGRCGACTCAGTCAAGTCTTTGAATTCTTCCAGCAGCTTGGCAATTGTTGGATCTGTGGAACTATCCTTTTCMTGGGCCTCAGTGACAGGTCTAAYATAAACMACAAAGAMCTGTTCCTCTAACTGCTTCTTTTTGACTAATCGCGCGAACGCGGGAGCACTGAGACAGCAATGTGCCAAGGTATTGTCTACACCAGACACATGGAACAAGCGGGCAGTCTTAGCCTCGCCTRACGGAYTAGGGAGCCTACACTCATGCTCTCTCAACTGGAGTGTGGCCCCTGCTGCCTCTCCCCAATCCATTCCTAAAACTACATCAAAAGGAAGGTCATCCTGCACGAGGAGTCAAAGAATGGAGGACCTTCTCTACTTTTCCATTCTGCTCTAGGCGAAAGTATGCCTGGACTCCCTCTACGTAGTCCTCAACTCGCATCGTGCGATTGTCTGCGAGAATACTGACTACAGGGTCTATTAACTTCTGGACCTTTAATCCTAGCCTCAGCTTCTTCAGCGCCCTACGGCTAATATAACTATGGGTAGCCCCTGAGTCTATGAGGGCCACTACTTTACTCCTAAACACCTCTACATCTACTAAGATCAGTTATCCCTTACTCTCCTTTTTCATTTTGGCCCAGGTTGGCATCCTCTCCTTTAACTCTTCTGCCACACCTGTGAGGGACGTGCCTAAAGAGACGCTAACACAAGCAGTCTCTGGACAACTATCTAGGCACGAGACTGCAACCTCTGCCATAGGCTCATGTGAGTTGGGAGTGTCCTGTTTGCGCGCGCTCACTTCTCCACATGGCCTTGAAGTAGGGGCAGTTGCGACCCCTACTAGCGGCTGCCTTTTGACTGTTGGGCAGCCCAACGGGCCTGTCTATACTTAGGACAAAATTTAAATACGTGCACCGGGTCACCACAAAATACGCACTGACCCATGTTCACGCGTTCCTGCCATAATTGTCGGTCCAAGCCCAAATCTTCCCAGGGCCTGCCCTGCGGCAAGCCCGGATGCCATCCTCCTTGAGGTGCCCTTCCACCTCCTCATTGACCAGTTACCATGGCGATTTAACGGGGGACCTTGACCCCTACCTCCCGCTTAGCAGTTTCCCTGTCCGCCAACCCCCTGTGCGCCCGGTCCTCGGCCTCCCATGGCCTGGCCCCTTTGGCCCTGGCCTCCTCTACCTTGCGGCCTCCCTCCGGCCGCGACAGCAGCGTAAGACCTCCCCTGCCCTACACAACTGTACTCCTCCCCTAGGCCCCACTCAATCTGATCATATGGGACCTCTTCCGTGCCACCCTCCTCTAATGTCAGGATCAAGTGATCCTTGGCCTTAACTTGGCCCGAGATGGTACGATCTTTCCACTTCTTCCCCTTCTCCAGGTCCTTGTGCAGAAAGTGGTAACTGGCATAGACTTCGACTCATATAGGACGACTTCTCTACTCAATAAAGAAATGCCCGCGTAGGGCTTCTGGAATGGCACGATAAAACAACTGGACCAACTGGGGTTCAGTTACCCCGTGGTCCGGGACGGCTACCAAGTCGTCCATAGTACCCTTGAGTGCCTTAGCACTCCTCCACTGCCGCGAGTGGATCGATTGGAGCTTATTAGAGGCTCTAATGCCTCGCGTTGGGTCAGCGAACCGCTGCTTGAGGACCTTGAGGAATTGGGAAAGAGGAGTGACTTTGGAATATACAACCAGGTTGTTTTCACAACAGGCTGTACGCGCGAGTGACCTGGCGAAGCTAGCCGTTTCGTCCTTGAGGGCCTTGAAGGCCATGAGGACTTGCTCCTCTGTTAGGATATGTTGCAAGTAAATATAACTGTTGACACTGGCTTTCCCATTGTCAAAGTTCTCTTCCTTCTTCCCCCCGTACGCATCTGGGAACTTGAGTTTCACTGGGTCCTTACGGGGTCTGACCTCTCTCTCTACAGCGGCTATAGCTTTGGCACCCTGAATGGCGCCCTCACAAAACTTCCCTACATTATCTCTCAATTGCTTCACTTTGCCCCCAATATGGGTGACGAACTCGCGCGCAAAATCTCTAAATCCTGACCGCATGGCACTCAACGCTACATCCTGGCTCCAGCTTGCCTGGCGCTCCTCCATCCAGGCCTTGCTCAACACCTCCAGGTACCCCAGTACTTTGTCCCACTTGGCCTTATCGTCTGGTTGGGCCAGCACCTCCGCTCTACACTCCTGCACCTTTGCCACCTCTGYGGTCATCTTGTTCACTTCCTCCCTCCTCTTCTTCTTCTCTCTCTTCATCCTCAGCTTCCATGCTAACTTTTGTTCCTCCTCCCTCTATCTTCGTTCCATCAGGTCTGTCATGGCTGCTAGCTCGGCGGCCAGCGCAGCCTTCTCATCCTTAGTCACATAGGACTCCGCCTCCTCTTCTCCCAACGATAAATTAGCGACCCACTCGCTGATCCTCTTCTCCAGCCCTATATCGGTCTCCCTCGTCATCGTGCCACTACTACTCCCTTCTCCACTCTCAATCCTCATCCTCTCTTTCTCTTCTTCTGCAGCCACTTCTGCTTCAGCAGCTTTTCTTCTTTCTTCCTCCTCTTGTTGTACTTTCTTCATCTCCTCCTCCAATCTCTTCATCTTCACCGCCTGCTCGTCTGCGATGGCCTTTAGCTTGGCTTGCTTTTCACGCTTTTTCCTCTCCTTACTCTCTCTGACTAAGGCAGCCATCTTTTCTTGCTGCTCAATGGTGTAGGGGCTAGTCTCCTTCCCACTATGGGTCTGAACCATGGTGATAAGTGTACAACCRGGTTAGTGGTTCCAAACCTCACCACGTAGACGTCAACCCCTGACTGACAGACCTACTGACTCAATCTAAGACTCACAGAATCCTGACAGGGATCCTGTCAAGTATGGTCTCTAGCCTAGACCTACACTATGGCTGTCACTACTGAACCAGTGGTTGATCAGGAGGCATTTAAGGAGATCCCCCGTAACTCCTCAAGAATTCTTTAACGTCGCMGACAGGACGACGTGATCAGCTTGGTTCTGCCTGTGCTTTCAGCCCACAACTCAGCCTTTTCAGCCTACTGTGCCACACCGAGCAGCCCGCCGGTATGTACCGGTCCATGGCAAGGTTCGTATCCCCCGGGACAATCGAGTCGTCAAACACAAATCATCAGCCTTACTTGGTCTGGTAGGGGAGTGGTTCCAACAGGCCCTCGACACTTAAAGACGGCCTCCGTTTCAGCCTGCAGCTCAGAGTTCGGACCCTCTACACTGAAACTGAGCAGACCTGTCGGACAGTACCGGTCATTGGGCTAGACGAGTTGTTTAACAGGCACTCGCCACTCATGCCCAGGTCTCCAGATACCAGAGTAGAGATTGGTCCTACTAAGTCTCATGCAGGTTTGGCAGCAAGGCCCTATCCTTCATCCACAAAGTTCTATGACCTAGGACAAAAGAGACTCAATGCAAAAAGATTAGACAGACAGACTGTACTCAGCAAGTACCAAGGGGTATGTGCACATCCAAAGGGCAAGGGGCAGGCTAAGGGCTTGGCGAGATGTTACCAATTCCAGCTTGGTCAAAGTCTTGGTCAACACCTTGGTCAACGCCGATCAACACTGCTATGACCCTCGGTCAACTTCGATCAACTCCGGTCAACGCCTCCGGTCAACCCTCTCGATCAACTTCCCGGTCAGCTATGGCTCCCGACACTTCTTCCTCGCCAATCCCCTTCTTCTTCCTTACCTCCCTCGCCTCCTCTCTCCCGCTGTCCTTCTCCCTCCTACTTCCTCACTCCGTGGAACCGGCTCTGCGGCTATGGCCGCTGTCTTTCTTCTTTGTGGACTGCGCGGCAACTTCACAGGTACGTAACAGCCAATCTTGTATCGCTCATCTCTCTCTCTCTCTCTCTCTCCCTCTCGCCGTAGCGGTATCTTCAGCGCAGCAAGTACGTGTAACCCAACCTTGTATCTCTCATCTCTCTCTCTCTCTCTCTCTCTCTCTCTGTCTCGGTCTTCTTCTTCGTCGTGTCTTTTTGCAGTGCGCAGCGGCTTCTTCAACCTCAAGTCCGCTATGGCGGACGATCTCCCTCGGCTGCCACCTCGGCTATGACACATCGGGCCCTGCTTACGACGGCGCGCAAGGAATAGCGGGTACCAGCTCCGATACCAATGCAATCAGACTCGTTCTCAAACACACTTTTCATGCATGTAAACAGCAACGCAGCATACTGGCGAAATGCACCCACTCAAAACTCCGATGTATGGCTTTCAGATACGAGTTCACTCTCAATTGGCTATGGCGACTTCAGCGCCCAAACATCTCACTGTTCACATACACTGGATCACCCTGGATATCCCACACGCATCACTCTAACACTCGAACACACACACACACTCACTACTAACTACAGCTATGGCAGTTGTCGCTGCATCTACCCTATCGCTATGCTCACTCCCTCTCTCTAGCCCACTGCGTCCTCCGGGCTCATCTGCAGACCTCCTTGCACAAGTCGCTGTGGCAGCGCTTCCGCATGGCTCACGCAGGAATGAATTGAATGGCTGGGCGCTGCCTCTTGATTTATACTTCAGAAATTCGTTGGTCTGCCCTTTGCCATCGGCCCTTGGTGCTCACAGTCCCCCTGTGGTACTTGCTGGACTGGACTGGGACTCTCTAGACCCTTTTGCTGACTGTAGGCAGCCGTACCGTTGACTCAGTGCAGTTGCACTGAGGTCCTACCTGTTGACCTTGCCACTTGTCTTCGTCTGAAAACGTGGGCCTACCTTAGACTCACCACTTGACCACTTGTCGACCTTCTTGAAGGACTACAGCTAGGCCTCTGGACTCTACTTGGACTCCTACCTTACAGGTCTACAGTTCGAATCTCCCTACAGCCTACAACCTACGGCGACCTACTTACCACTGGCTATCGTGCAGGTCATGAGTTCAACTCCAGGGAACTGTACACATGTAACTGAGGTCAAGGGATCGACCCCTGGCATCTGCATCAGCTACTGCCAAAGGTGAAAATTGTTTCATTACCATCAAATTGAGGTAGAGCCAGAAGACTAGTATAAGACTACCTTTTGTACAAGGAATGGGAGTTCATTGTGTTGCCCTTTGGTCTTACTAATGCACCTGCAGTTTTCCAACGGACGATGAATGAACTTTTTCGTGAATGGCTTGATAAATTCGTTGTTATATATTTAGACTATATTTTTATTTTTACTAAAAACATGCATGAAAATTGTGAGCACCTTCGACTTGTGCTAAATAAATTGCGCGAGGCAAAGTTGAAGTGAAACTCTAAGAAGTGCGAGTGGGCAACGCATCACGTATTGTATTCGGGGCACGTTATAAACGAGGATAGTATCAAACCAGAAAACACAAAAATTGCAGCTATTCGAGATTGATCGAACCCACGTACGCTGACGGAACTACGACCGTTCCTTGGATTGGCAAACTACTATCGTAAATTCGTAAAACACTTTACGACAATTCTTGCTCCCCTTCGCAGACTATTGAAGTAGGAAACGATCTGGAAGTGACACCAAGATTGTACGTCTTCCTTTAAATAACTAAAGAAATGTTTGATCAACTATCCAATTTTGAAAGTTGCTGATCCTTTTTTGCCCTTTGTTGTTACTACCGACAACAATCAGTACGGGGTAGCCGTTGTACTCCAGCAAGATGACGGGAATGAATACAGGCCTGCGGAGTTTATGTCCCGACGACTGCCTAGTGAAAGTTGCCACTTCTACGTATAAAAAACAGTTATACGCACTCCGGGAAGCTTTGGATCATTGGCGTCATTATCTTCTAGGTCGCCATTTCAAAGTGTACTCAGATCATGAGACACTTCGCTGGCTAAAGACACAGACCCCGATAACACCTAAACTGACCAGCTAGGCTGCGGAAATCGATCAGTATGACTTTTGAGCTAAAGCCAGTAAAGGGCAAGTATAACGTTGTTGCTGACGCATTAAGCCGAAGATCTGATTTCTTCAGTGTTATTGTAACGTATTTAGACATAGGCACCGATTTACAAGATAAGGTTAACGATGCTTATTCCACTGATCCTGTTTATGGCGCTATGCTAAAACATATTCAAGAAGCACCACAAGAGTTTCCTAACTATCGAGTAACTCGAGGACTGCTGTTTGAAAGATCTGATGTGCATGATAGGCTTTGTATTCCGAACAAAGAAGAAATCAAAAGTGTGATCTTAGGGGAATGTCATGATACCGAAGGCTATTTTGGATGGAGGAAAAGCCACGCTAATCTTTTGTGTTTTGACACCTAGCCTCGAATGAAATCTGATTGTATTGCATATGTGCAAGGTTGTCAAGTGTGCAAACGGAACAAAAGCACCACACAGCCTCCCGTTGGTCTATTGAAACCCTTGCCTATCCCAAGAGGTCCTCGAATCTCTGTGTCCATAGATTTCATGGACACTAAGGTGAAACGCAGGAATGGAAAAATCGTTGATAGATTCAGCAAGTTCGTTGTTTTTGTGGCATTCGTTGTTTTTGTGGCATTCGTTGTTTTCGTAGCATTGCCTGTGGAAGCTAAAACTGACTTAGTGATTCAGGAATTTTTTAACCACTGGGTAAAGGACTACGGTCGTCCCTTGACTATCGTTCAGGACAGATTCTCGATTCACTAGTAAACATTGGCAGCAACTAATGAATGCCTACGGCTCTAAACTGACAATGTCATCAGGTCGACACCCAGAGACAAATGGGCAGACTGAGCAAATGAACAAGATTTTGCAGCAAACACTGCGTACGTACATTCGTCCCAATCAAATTGATTAAGATGAACATTTGCCCAAAGTTGATAGTGCCTACAATAACTATGTGCACTTCTCTACTTACAACTCCGATGGACTGTCTAAAACCCGAATAGAGCACATAAACTTCCGCCAGGAACCAGAGAGTTCGCAATACAATATCAAAAAGATTTAGAAAAGGTGAAGGCGAATATAATAAAAGCGCAGCATCAAATGATTGAACAGGCCAATAAGCACAGGAGACCTCAGTTTGTTGTATGTGATCTGGTTTGGGTGGAATCGAAAGAATTTATCCCAGAGGAAAACATATCTCAGAAATTATTACTTGCCTACAGAGGACCGTGTCAAGTTTTGGATGCAATAGGGGATGAAGATGGACCCTCCTATATTATTGAGATACCTCCACATTTGCATACCTACCCAGCGTTTCACATGTCAAAGCTCTTACCTTGTGTAACTAACGAACTGTTTCCCAGTCGAAGGTCAGCAATTCCTCCAAGTATGGATGGGAAATTTGATGTTGATAGGATCGTTGTTGAATTTACTATCCAGACTGGAGGTAGACGTAGACCTCAGCAGCAATATAAAGTCAGATTTGCATATCAAGATCCAAATGAAGCCCGCTAGTTTACTAGGGAAGAGCAAAATTGAAACTGCACCGAACATAGTATCTTACTATGAAAGAGCAAGAAGAGGTCCAAATATTTTGGACAGACAAGGGTTTCTCAGAGGACTTCGAAATTAGTCCGGCGAGAGTAAAAGGGCCTTTACGAACTAGACCCCAGATGAGTACCCCTACAGAGAGGGGCCCTGTCGGCCAGAACTTAAATTCACGAGCAGCAACCCAAAAGACAAAGTTCCTGAGGCAAATGTCACATCCATAATGAAATGAAGGGTCATTTTAAACAGTCACAGACAGGTCCTGAACAAACAGGTGTAATAGGGGATGTAGATGGACCCTCCTATGTTATTGAGACACCTCTACATTTGCATACCTACCCAGTGTTTCACGCGTCAAAGCTCTTACCTTGTGTAACTAACGAACTGTTTCCCAATCGAAGGTCAGCAATTCCTCGAAGT